GTTTCTTGATGTAGAGGGCAACCCCTCCGCCCCTCCTTCCTCGCCTGTCCCTTCTGAACAGCCTGTAGCCATCGATAGCCACACTCCCGTCGGCTGAAGCTTATCCAGTCCGTAAGTTGAAGCCTGAATAAATCTTCACAATTCAGAATATGCTAACGTTTTATGCTAACATGATCTTGAAAGTAGCCTGTCTAGTTTTGAGGGGGTCCATGGAAGCCAAATGAAAAAAGCAAGCTGTTGGTAGCGTAACCTCGCTGTTAGGGGTCCTCGGGTGGAAGGAGACTGTAAAGTGCTTCTCGGAAGTCTTGCTGCTGTTAGCCAGACTGTAACTTTGTCTCTTCGCTGCTGCCAAGTTCTGTGGTTCTTACCAGGCACATACTACTCAAGCACCAATTTACATCAATTTTGTAATTTTAAAGTATGGTAGCTAATGTGATAAATATCGTACGGAGGAAAGAACTAAATATCACGAGAAAGAAATGCGCAACTGCAGTGTAAGGCGGTGGTAGGAATGATGCTAGTAACAGCACGAAACTTTTCTGCTCGTACTGCTGCAGGTATGCTGTGAAAGCAAGGAGAAATTCTCTCAACTGTTCTGTGTAAAAGGCGCTAGTGAAAACAAAAGTTGGAAGTTCCTTCATGTGTACTGGCAGTAAGCTTGGAAAATTCCAAATCTGGATCATAATTTTTTCCTCTTTTCTTTTTCAGATACTCTTGTGCTTAGTGTGCGTTGTGACTCTGATAGCTACAGAGCTCTGGACACGTATTCATTTGTTTGTTCAGCTAAAACGTGTTTTATTAATAAGTTTTCTCATCAGTTTTGCATGGAATTGGCTTTACTTGTACAAGGTAAGTTGTTCTGAAATCTTAATGGCTTTTAGGCTTCAAATTTTACAGTTATGAGGGAGTTAAGGTTATTTAGTTCCTTTAGTTTATATAAGGCAATAATTGACTGCAAAATAAATAAAGGGATGAACGTTTTATTTTGCATGTTGACAGGTGTGTTAGGCTTAAAGAACAACAACAGAAACCCTGCCAACTTTTATCCTGCCGCAAAGGTGCACAAAATTCATAAAGCAGTAGAACTGTGATTTCACTGCATGGGCAAGGGAGACATGAACTCTGTCTAAAGCAACTTGGTAGAAAAGTCTTATGAGAAGATACTGTGGGGCTTTTTTTCTTTCTAAGGATTCCGTGGCTGAAACTGTATTTAACATGTGATAGACCAGAGATAAATGCTTCATTAATGGTGACAAAGTAGCTGACTGTACAATGGTATTGGTTTTAATGAGGAGGAATTTATGCTGCTAGGTCATAGCCCAACCACAAAATCTCAGTCCTCACATCTTGTCATCAGAATTTAACTGCAGCTTGTCAGACCCAGGAATAGCGGAGTGCCAGAGCGGAGGATGGCTCTTGAACACGAGTGGACTGCCATGCGGAGGACTTAGATTGAGCCAGTGAAGAATGTCAGAGTTTTTCAACAGACGATTTGACTTAATTTTTTCTATTTGATTATCAGTTGCAAGCTGTAAGGCAAAATTATAATGAATACAGGTATTTGCCCCATCCCTGGAAACATTCCAGGTCAGGTTGGCCGGGGCTCTGAGCAACCTGATCCAGTTGAAGATGTCCCTGCCCACGGCAGGGGGGTTGGACTAGATGGCCTTTAGAGGTCCCTTCCAACCCAAACTATTATATGATTCTAAGTTATTGTTAATGGGAATTATTTAAAAAATAAAAGAGAATGCCCTGATGTTTTGATTAGTAATTGCGTGGCAGCTGTCTCTATTTTTAATCCAGAAGCATTTTAAGGAAGCAAGATGTCAGATTACTTTTGCCCTGAACTTGTATCTTTGAAGTTTGCTCTTTTAGTAATTCAGACTCCATTTGGAGAATAACTCGGAGGTAGCCATCCTGGTAGTTTTTATCCATTCCCAGGAAGTACTTGGAATTTAACTCTGTTGTTTAGGTAGTAAACGTTTCTTAATAGAGATTTACCCAGGTAATTATCCCAAGCCTGCAAAGAGCAAATGTCATTAGCTCAGGTGCAGTACTGCATGGACGCAGGTGTTCTGTGCCCAGCACCACCTTGGTTTACGTTTTACAAGTAATTCTTCCTCTCCTGCAGCTGGCCTTCGCGCAGCATCAAGCAGAAATTGCGAAAATGGGGCAGTTTGATAACGTCTGTGCCGAGAAGTTGGACTGGGGGGGAAGTCTTATTGGTAAATACTTGTTTCATTATTTTGTAATAGTATTTAAGATCACAAAACATTCAGTAATGGTATCCAATACTACTCTGATTTCTTCATGAGTAGTACATCAAATCTTCTTCAGCAATACATGATTATGTGGTTTTAGCATTTTTCCATTCCACAAGACTTTCTTTTCTAGGCCTTTGGAGAGCTGATCACAAAACTGTGCTTAGAGCATGTCGTGGTGTTACTTCTACGTGGTGTTTTTCCTCGTCCCTTACCCCGTGAGTGCTTCCCCAGCTCCCCCCAGGACCATTCAGTGCGGTTGCTGAAGGCAGGAGGGCAGAATTCAAGGAAAAGATTTTTTTTCATCCTCCGGGCCTGCGAGTACAATGGACTTCAGAAATTAGATCTGTAACTACTTACACTAGTGTTGTTATTTTAGAGAGAAAGCTGAAATTTTTTATTAGCCGTTATTTGTTATGCAGTGCTATAGCCGGTAAATTAATGATGGCAACTCTTAATGAGTGCTTGTAATGGTCTTCCCTTGAGAACTTACTGGCTGTGATTGCTCTGTTTACATCAAATTTCAGTGGTTTATGTTCTGACTGCACTAAAATCAAACTACAGAAACACTGATGTCATAAATTACTTGTTTATAACTTAAAAGTTCCCTTAAGGAGTAAGACTTTCTGCTTGTGACTAAAATAGTCTCTTGAAATCTAGCAAGCAAAATACACATTTTTAATCTACTTGCAGCCTGGCAGACGAGTAGTAGCAGTCAGAATTACTTCTGTTTCAGTAGCTGTGGACAAAATGTGCTAGATAGTAGTTCCCACAGACAAGACTTACTTATTTTTCTTCTGAGGCTTCTAGGGGCTAAGTTCATCTAACAAAGAGAACTTTCTCGACTAAACATGGGAAAACCTTAGTTTCTTCTCTTTCTTTCCAGCCTTCCCTCACCTTCCTGCATCCCCATGACTGGATAAACTACGCTGCCAAACTAACCTCAGGCTTTTAAAACTGGTTCTGAGCTTTGAACCATGTCTAGAAGAGTTCTCTTCCATCTACGATAGAAATGCTGCTTTCTGTATTACAGGTGTGCCATAAAATATATTTGTAAAAAGAAGTAGTAAAAATGTGTCTCTGCTTTGACTACAGAATGGCTCAGAAGTAAATGGACGTTTCAGGACGATCCCTGTCAGAAGTACTATGAAACTCTGCTAGTAAATCCTGTTTTGCTGGTTCCACCGACAAAGGTAAGTGCCGAGCCTAAAGAGAGAGACTGTTTATGTGTGTTTGCAATCCGTGACAACACTATTTTTCTATTTGTACTTTTCTAGGCATTGGCAATTACTTTCACCAACTTTGTAACTGAGCCTTTGAAGCACGTAGGACAAGGTATTGGTGAATTCATCAAAGCGCTTATGAAGGAGATACCGTTTATTCTGCAGGTTCCAGTGCTAATTATGATGGCTCTGGCTGTCCTGGTTTGTATACATTTATCTTACATTTAAAAGCTCCATTTTATTTTTTTATTACTAAACTTATTTATATTTAAGTATTATCATCTATTATATTATTTAGTTTTTATTTGTACTGCTGAACAGATTTCTTAGCACAGATTGAATTATTTCTATAAGGGAATTTTTTCTTGACAAAATTTTTATAGTACAGTTGCTTTAGTAATTATAATAGGTAAGTTTGTATTTAAACTGCACCTCTCCCCCACTCCCCAAGTGGGATAAAATAGCATCAAACTGCTTAAAATCTTTGACTCTGACAGTTTATTGCAGCTTAGCTCCCATTTCTTCTTTGTGTCATTACACAACGATGCATATAATTGGCATTTTGTACACGAAAGCATTGAGTTAGAGCCTTCAACATCTTTATCGTAGCACCAAAGATGAACGACGACTTCCAGCCTGGCAGTTCCTGCAGTGCGGTCAGACTGCAGAAAGCTGGCATTTCACTGTAACCGTTCTGATCACCTGAGCTTTTCTTTCAGTGTTTTTTTCAGATGTGTGACTTTGCATTCTGTGTGAAAACCGTAGGCTGCAAATATTTGATGTTTTGTTCTTTTCTCCCCCCCCACCCCCCAGGCTTTCTGCTACGGTGCGGGATCATCAGTGTCTGTGTTAAGATACTTAGTAATGTTTCAGAAGAAAAGTCTTCCTCCACCTGACAGCCAACAGGAGAAAATAGACTTTGGGCAATATGATGGGAGTAAATCAGACGGCTATTATGTGCAGAAGCTTCCTTATGTTTACAGAAGACCTCATGACAGAGGAGATGCTCCTGTGAGAGCAGGAAATGGCAGCAGAAGTCCCGACATCGTGCATACAAGCCGTGAGCCAGATACGCAAGTAGAAGAGTCTCACAAACCAGAACCTGGTGTATGTTAGCCCTGGTGCTCTTTGAGCTGGGATTAAATGTAATAGATTTCAGTGTCATCTGCTGGAACATGTTTAAACAGCAAGCTTAACCCAGATCCTGGGGAGAGAGGAGTTAAGGAAGTACCTGTTCCCCTATAGAACAGTTTGGTAGCGGTATCTTGGCCATGTTTTGTTCTGGGAAAATACTGTGCAATGGCTAACTGTGGCAGGAAACGACTGCATGAAAACTCTTTATAGCCAAGACTTAAATAACTTCTGTTTTGAGAGATCAGTACTTATGTCAGCCTGGGCAATAATGACTACCATAGAGGAAAGGCGGGGGAAAAAAGCAATGCTGACTTTGCTGTAAACTATAGAAAATTAAAAACAGACTTACACTCTAGCTTGTGCTTATTTACATGTACTGTTTCCCCAGGCAAAAAAAAAAACAGTCATGCCTTGGGGGAGTTCTGCCCCTTGAGCTGAGATGCACCTGAAGCAGCAGATGCCATCACTTTGGATTGCTTGATTAATAGCTTATTATTAATTTTTACAGAATAGATGGCACACTGAGTCTGAAGTTTGTAGACTAGAAACTATCACAGCTGAAAACCTTACTGAAGAACGCGCACTTGAGCAGCAGAAACAGGAGACGGGCAAAGCAGAGCGGGAGACTGGAGAAAACGGTGATCCTAATAAAAACCTAGAAGGGAAAAGTTCTGCACTGGAACCCTGTGAAGAGAAGAAAAAGAGCAGTTCACGTGACTCACAGGAAGGAGACTAAGGAAGCCCCAAGCTCGGCTGTAAGTTTTGTCTTATCTTTAGTTGTCACATACTTGCTAGTTCTGCTCTAGTTCTCGAACGTAGACAAGAGACCATCGGTAAGCTGATGGGAACTCATCTTTGGTCAGAGCATTAGGAAGCATAGCTGTAAGGCGGGGGTTTAAAAACTGAGAGACTGAGTGTATGTACTACTTCTGGAATTCGAAATAAATGTGTTAAGTAAGATAATACCACTTTAACTGGCCAAGACAACAGGCCTGTGGGTGCTGCTGCTTGTTTGAAATCAAGTTTGTGTAGTAAGTTTTGAGTAAAACTAGATACTCTGTGGTGGGAAAGCACTGATGCTCTGTGATCTAGCAAACATAAGCTGAACCAGGTAATGGTCAAACAGCCTGAAGAAAAGTTGTTGATATTCATGTAATTCACATAAGACTAATTAATTACAGCTCTACTAGAAGTCTCAGGACTATCTTTGTTTTATATTCTTTAAAATCACTCTTAAGTAAGTAGAACTGCTGCTTGTCAGCTCAGTTTTAGGACAGCGTGTTGATTTTCTTCTAGTTCAGTAATTTGCAGAGGAGTGAGAAGCTGATGCTGTACCAGATGGTTTTTTAGGGCGATTCAAAGCTGAATAGGGAATAGGAAGCACTAAGTAAAAGTACTGAAGATCAGCACGATAAATGGATGGTAACACATGGTTTTGGAAGAGAATTTTGTCGTTTCTCCTTAAAAGCAGGAGGACAGTTTCAGTAGAAATCAATTTGCAGTGCTAAAAAAGCTGCAAGAGAATGTGTGTAAAACTTTCAGTAACTGTAAAATAGTTTGCATTATGTGGAGCCTGCGTGTCTGTTTAACTGTTCTTACAATGCCATTTTACTCTGAAGCTAAAATTAACTGTAGGTTCTTCTCTAGGGGTATAATACTTCAATTGAAAATTACATCACTTCATCTATAAATACCTGAAGTGAACAGGTTGCTACCTTTGGTGTTAAAATTAGTGGCGTCTACCTCAAGATACCTACACTTAAAACAACGTATAGCCCTCGGGGTCCCAAGAACTACCTCAGTACAGGTATTCCACCGAGGGGAAGGCTGAGTTACAACTGTTGTTCCCAAGCACATCCTTAGCAAGAGAAGGAGAAGTAGTTGAGGTCAAGTAATAAGGAGCACACATACACTTACCATTCTTAACATCTTAAATTCAATGACTGCAGGAGTTGCCTGACGTCCGTGGTAGTTCGTGCCACGTACCTACCACCCCTGTGCTTCCCTGCTGCACGGACCACTACTGGTGGTGGACACGCACCACACAGCCTGTAGCACAGCATTGGCAGCTGTTACTGAAAAACAAGTTCACCTTCTTAAAACAATCCTTCTGATGTAAAACTGCGCTAATACAGGAAACACTTAACTAAATATTACCAAAAAACCCCAGCATTTTTGGAAAAGACTGTTTTTGTATTGTATTGAATTGTAGAATTAAAACTAGGGTTTTGTTGGTTTTTTTTGTTTTGTTTAAATAAAAATGATTACGGAAACGGAGTTTGGAAGACGCAAAGACAGACTAAGTACTGAAGCTAATTCCTCAATTTTTTTTTATTTTTAAAAAAAGTACAAAAGAAAACAGGACCTTTTCCCAGGGAGGTACAAATTGGGGGAGGGGGGAAGTTACCTTTAAAAAGAACATACAAATCTAGGTCTTACGCTAGATGGAGACAGTGGTAGAACCCACACATCAGCAATGAGAGTACCCTGACAGGGAAAAAAAAATCATATTAATGTTCATAGACTAGAGGCAGTTAAGAGGGAGACACAGTGATCAGTATCTTGGACACTGCTAAAAGCAGCTGCCAACTGCAAAGCGCAGCGGCAACTCTAACTACTGGTCATGAGCATGATGCTGCTGCTATTTATTAAAAAAAAAATTAGAAAGGGGACAAAACTACTAATTGCAGTCTTCTGTAAAAAGGCATGTGTGTTTTTCCAGCAAACAAAAATGATACTTAAGATGCTACTGTACAGTAGGCGCCTGTTTGCTTCTTCAGCTAGAATTTGGTCCCTTTATAGCTGAGGGTAAATGGACTCTCTGTTCATCCATTCTCTTAGCTTGTGATCGTAAAATCAGGCTGAAAAAATCCTCGTCTGGCACAGTTGGTCCTTTTGCAGATGATGGAGGAGCACATCTTTGATCATCCAGTCTGGAACCCTACGGACAGACCAAGCAATAAAGCTGCATATTTACAGGAATATATATAATAAGTGAACAATATAAATGAAAAATTACTAAAAGCTTTTGTTTTCAGATTTAAAGCTATTACAAGGATTTAATTTGTAAGTTTTGTTTCAAGTTAAACTTCTGAAATGAAATTAGTAAGTTAAGAGTGCAAGTGTAGCTAAAACGGTTCCTCCAAACCACCTGTCCACATGCATCTGAAAACAAAACCCCCAATTTAGTTCTTGTTCATATTGCAGAATGAGATTTAAGTGTCCTTTGTCCAGAAGAAGAATTTTAACAGTAGTGCATGGTATTTCTAGTCTCGTACAACAGAAAGTACGTCTGTCTTCCTTTCCTTTATACGGGGAGTAAAAAATAGCCAGTGTTGTCAGATTTGGAAAGGCAATACTGAGAGAAAGTTTTCCTCCAAACACGAAAGACTCTGGTACATTTTAATCACGGTGTTACAGAGCAGTTTGCTGAACCCCTCTGAGGGAGTTTCTGTGCTCCTTTCACACAGCCGCCCGCTCCTGGCCAGATTTTACAAGCATCAGCCTCTCGCCCTAGGTCTGGCTGTGGACTGCTGCCGAGCTAACTGCAGGGGCACTTCAGAAAGGCACGGCTTTCACTGTTCACTACGAAGAGAGGATGGACCTTGGGCAGAGTCACCTTTGAGACGAAAAGTCTCGAAAGTCAGCTACCCTTTTGTGCTTCTGTTCAGAGCAGTAGCATCCGTACTGAGGGGATTAAATTTTTCCACTCTTTTCTCGATAAGCACAGTCATTGCGTTACGTTTGCTACATACAGTGCACACGAAGAGGCAAAATCTACCGTATTAACCTCTAGACTCTTTGCTTGACTCAAAGAAGTAAACAGACAAGCTGCTAAAACAGAACGTGGTATTTCATCAGGTTGATGAACACTGTCATTGTAGAATCAATTCCAGGTGCTGCTTCCCACCCAAGCTAACATACTTACTTACCTTTGGAGAACTCGGTGTCTGAATTTTGTATTTTGAGATCCTTACCAACCCATCAGGTAAAACACCGAGCCTTTTTAATTGAATTCTTTGGTCTAATTGGTATATATACCATGTTTGAATTGACAGTCAGACCCCTCACTTGTGTATTGCCACGAACTATTATTTAAACTTAACATAATTGGAATGATGATCACTATCGCCGCTAAAACTTCGATACTGAATTCTTTCATCTCATCAGTGAGGACTCCTGGTCTATCGGGTGCCCTCCTAACAAGCCAGATCTAAACACTTTTTCTTAAAATCATTTTACATACTCCTTTTAATAGCCTCACTTGTTTTCCTTCACCTTTTCAGCATATGTTACTTTAAATGGTTAATGTGGTATAAATACCAAAATTACACTTACTAGACACTGGATAATTGGGGGGGGGGGGCAAAACCAAAAAAAAAAAAAATTGGGGGGGGGAAACCTTGGGGAAAAAAATCCTAATTTTCTGTTCTCTATGTTCTTCCTTATCTGCCAAGTCAATTTGTATCTTAAAACACATGGTAAACATGGTGGCTTACTTGAAGAAACTGAATAGCAGGATGCACAAATCAAATCCCCAAAGACTCAGAATCTGAAGAATTTTTGTAAAAAACTTACCTGGCATTTTATCAATATATCAAAGAAGTCGTCATCCAGTTCTCTGTTGTTACTTGCCATGAGGTGACCCAGGACTGACTGACTGTTGTGTTGATTAAGACGAAGTCCAGGCAGATTACTAAAGCTGGCGCGTTGGTCATCCAGGCGGCGGCTCTGTGAGACAGCAAGTAGGTCTAGAAATTCATCTGTGTGGGGTGAGACTAAAGAAGTAGAAAAGGCTGGGGAGGAGGAAGAAGACAAGTTAGCCTGGAGTTAAGTTCCTTTCCGTAGTCAAGTCTTGCATGCAAATACATTTTTAAAGTAGTATTTGGCAGGAACTAAAGTCAGATACAGATCTGGCTTTTAAAAAATTACATTTTCTCATTGTTTTCGGTGGAGTAGAGGATGTGGCCACTGAAGCAGCTGAGAATCTGTTCTTCTCCTGGAAGTAGCATCTCTGATCATCCATCCTGTTACTCTGGAATCGACTCAGCAGATCAAAGAACCCTTCATCTGCCATTGTCTCTCGACTGTTTTTCTGAAGAGGACAGAAGAGTTAGGGGTATTTTGAACTGAAGAGTACCTAAAACTAGGACAACTGCATCACAGTTTCAATCCAGTAATATGTTTGATATTTGCATAGCTGAAATCCATTAAATGAATTCCTTTAGTCATCCATTTCTATAGACAGAGATTTGTTGTAAGAGGAAACGCTAATGATACGGCAAGCATTTTTGGAAGGTAAAATATATTAGAAACGTTTCATTCTCTGAAACAGAAAGAAGCAGTACTCTGATCAGTACAACTGGAGTTGTTCCTCCTCAGCCATGAAAACCCAAATGCCCATGAAAGGAAAAAACAAGAACAGCAACGAACAGTTTCCATTGTCTCCTCAGGTCTATGGTCAAAAGCACTCATCTCGCGCCTAGATCAAACGACTCAGTTCTTTTATTTTTACCTGACTTCTGTCAAGAGTGCAGTAACCTAAAAAATATGTCAAAAATATCTCCCACTGTCTGAATCAGAAAAACTAGATTTTTTTAAGTTTGGAGAAGCAGGGTCTAGAATAGACTAGAAATAAAATATATGTGCAAGCTGAGCTGTAACTTTAGAAAATCTACCAGGAAAAAAATGTTCCAGTAGTAGGAAAAGCTTAAAGCTGGCCCCACCCATGAGACAGCTGTAGAACGGCAGATTCTGCATCGTTTCAGAGCCACAGCGTTTAAATCAAGTAAAACTGAAATGGACAGCTGCAGGAATGTGTTTGTCATAATTTTGATCAGACAAAGATTAGTAGAGGCTATGATCTCCACAGCTCGCCAAACCTACCCTCTGAGAGTTTGGAAGTCGATGGTCAATAGAATTACTGGCATCCTGCAAAACTTTGGAAGCGGTGCCGTTTTTGTACTTTTTGCCTTTTAGTCGATTTACAAAATGCAGTTTTGCTGAAGGTTTGGCAACCAGTGGTTTCTGTTTAGCAAGAATCTCACTGTTCCAGTTCTGAACCTAAGAAAACAAGAGTCATGAAATTAAGCCTTCCGATTTCAATTACCTATACTGTTACTTCTTATTCGCTGGTGCTTTTCCTCCCCAGAATGAAGCAGCTTTACGTTATTTAGTTTATCCAACCACGAGGATGTGAAAACTTAGGTGTCGGTTCTACTCTTTGACCTGTGATTATGGAGCTCTTGTTACCTGAAGCAGGTTAGTACTGTTACTGATCGGTCTTATAACTGAACTGTAGCGTGACGCCTGATTGATTAAAATGTGGTCACATGAAACGTGCTGAAGTTTTCCTTGCTGACTACAGTGCAGGACATGTGGTTAACGTGAACGCTAAAATGCGGACACAGCTGGCATTTCCCACCTGACATTCTTATAGTTGGAAAGAAAAAAAAAATCCTTAGTTTTACAAAGCATTAGAGCAAAACAAACCCTTATACAAACCCAGATACTCAACCAGCCTTCCATGAAGTCCTTGGCAATACACAAAATTCCCAGTAAAGATTGAAAGGGAAGAGGGAGAAGAATGCCAGCACAAGAGCGAACAGGAATAACCATCTCGTTCCACTGAAGAACAGAATGGATAGCTTTATCAACCTGACAGATTTTCCCTAAATTCTCTTCTAAAATAGCAGAATTATCCACAAAACTGACAGCTTTATCTAAAACCTGCAAACTCTTACAATAACTGAATAAAACCACATTTTTTTCTTGATTCGACATCAGAAGTTGTGAACACAGTCACAAATCTCTCAGCAACACTGCCTACCCAAATGGATTGCCTTTTAAAGGCTTATTTAAGATCAGCACACAGATTCCAACTCCGAGAAGATGGCATCCTGTACAATCAAACCGTAATGCTGGTGTCGTACATTGTTCTATGTATCAAAGACAGACATTCATGGAATGAATTTTCAGAATCTACTGAACGAGTATCTTGAAAAAAGCCCTTTATAAGAGCTAAACTGCAATACTAGCTTAATACTTTATTACAAAATCCGCATGAAACATTTCAGTGTATTTAGGGCACAGACTATGTATTTTAAAAGATATCGCAGATAAATAGATTCAGAGAGTAAGAAAATAACAGCCGATACTGGCCAGAAGCTTAGAGGTTCCCTGCAGAGAAATCACCCTGGACTAAACCCAGCGTCTTTTTAAATCAGTACACAAAGGGGCTCTTGAGCATCAGTGCTGACTTCAGCTGTACTGACTGTCCAGAAGCAAGCTTGGAGATTTAATTCCTATCTGATAAACACGATGGCAGGCTTTGCATCACCTGAAGAGATGGGAATTGGACACCCCAGTATGGAGGGAAAAATAGCAATTTCAGTCTGCCACTGGAGTCACGTGAAACTGCCAGCCCACCGTTGAAAGGCAGACAGAATTTGAAGGAAATTTCTCAAAGACTGACACAAGGATTTCAATCGGGAACTCCCAGCTCCAAGAGATTTCTCTGAGCTTGGGGGGAAGTTACTTGACCTGTCTGTGACTCAGTTTCAGCATTTTGGAAATGGCATCCTTACTCAAGATGGATGTTGAAACTCCTAATGGCTTGCAAGTTGGTTGAAATCCCAAAGTGAAAAACACAACATGTATTTTAAGTGCCTATAAAATGACCATAACCAAAGAAAAAAATGTTGAGAACAGCTGAGCTAAAGCTTAGGAATTTTACTCTGAATCACTTTTCATGTTGCACCCTCAAACCACTTTTAAAGAGGAGATGAAAGGAATTCCTTTGATGCACACTACAGGACCCCATTCTTTCTTATTTGGGAGGGGAATAAAGCAAGCTTTCCACGAGCCATTACGACCATTATAAATGTAAGATGCTGACTGTTACCTACATGTCGAAAGTATTATTTGTTAGAATTGTTAGACCTGCTTTTACCTAACTCTTAAAATCAACTAAATTAAAAAGGGGATGCGAATGACATATGAACATTCTGCTGAGTTCTTTCACAGTTGTTAAGTATAAAACTTCTGACTATTCATAACTGTTGAAGTTAAACCCTTAGAAACATTTCATTGCACTTTCACCGGCAGAACAGAAAGAAGGAAAGTGCCAACCTTTTCTGGCGTTAATTTCATAAGTTCCATGTTCTCCATACTGTGGCGGCGTCCTACTCTCGGTCTGGTACCTTCAAGGAAGAATCAAGTTCATCTTTTTACCATTAAGATTTATGGTGTCACCTTCACAGCCGTGGCTGTACACGTCCAAGGTCCAAGGTACAGCAATTCTGAGTTCCACAATAGTGCAGAGTTAAATACATCAGCAGAGAATAAATAACCACTAGTAAATGCAGCCTTCAAAACCACACCGATCTAAGCTACCTAAGTTGCTTTCATGGGACACAGAGAAGCACCATGGATCTTTGAACAGAGGAACATGAAATGAGCTGGGTTCTACTGTAACCCCCAGTGTCATTAAGGTGGTAGGAAGAAAAAAAGGGAAGACATCACTTGGCAGCAGATAGATCAATCTCCCACATTAAAAAAAAAAAAAGGGGGGGGGGTGGGGGGAGGGGACGACACACAATTAGAAACATCGTGTGAAGAAACTAAGCAGTAACCTGTGATTGACAATGTAAATCCTCCAGAAAAGGAGGAGCTGAAGGGGTCCAGTACTGCAGAAACAACCTTTTTTTGCTGGCGGGGGAAAAAACCCGAACCCACATATTCAACCATCTGTAGTCATAAAACAATGCAAACAACAGATGATTGTTGAAGTTCAGTGGTAGAAAGTACTGCAGAAGTAGGCACGTACCATTCAAACTGTTATCTGCCACATGGCTTTCTGACAGCATGGAGTTGTTTGTGCTGTAGCTTAATCCGAGAACCATTTGAAGATCTGAGAGATTAAGTCTAGCAGTGAGTTCCCCACTTCTATCTCCTACCTGCAACCAAATAAAATAAGCAGTTCTATTACTGTAACAAAGAATACACATATGTAAATCTGGGAGAAAAAGGCTGAAAAAGTTTTCCTGGTTGAAAACAGAGAATCATTTTAATGAAATACGTAACAACTAAAAGGTACGTAACAAAGCCTAAAATAACCTCTGCTAGGCTATTACCTTGAATTCCATGCTGACATTATTGGAGGTGGCACAAGAACTAAGGAGCTAGTTGCAGTGAGACATGGCTGAAATAATTTGGAATCGACTATCTCAGAAATCATTCAAAATCCATTCCATTATTCAAAATCGCAGGCATGGACACACCTCCATAAAATCACTGCGTAAGCGAGAGCAAAAACCAGCCAGCCAACATACGCCGAGTGTGAAAACCATACCTCTCTTGAAATCTCCAAGTGCCTTTCTGCAAAATGCATAGCTTGGTCATGATTTCCCAGAGCAGTATATGCGTTCCCTAAACTCCAGCATGCTCTTCCTTCACCGATTCTGCAAAAAATAAAACACATTTTCAATTACGCCTTTACTGGCTGAACACTAGGGGTCAGGTTTTCATAATACTGCCACAATAAGATTGCTGAGCCAAGAAGGCGGCTATCATGAGAAACCATTCCAACACCAACACTTTAAAGATTGTATTTAAAGGAGTGTGATCTGGGTATAACCATAAATATGAGCAAATGTGATCAGAATTTTAATTTTTAAGCTCACAGCAAATGTAAGTCACTCAGTTTTGCAAGCATGGAACATTTTATAACCTACTTTGCTTTTCCTCAGATTGCATGCCTTATTATTTTTCATATATTCTGCTTATTGAGTGAGTTAGAAGTGCATTTAAAAGTTGTAAAAGATTCTAGTTGTACCCAAGGTTATAAAAAAGGCCTTAGAAATCATGATTATAAAATAAGCATTACTTGCTACTGTATTATTCTCCTTTCCCCATCCCTTTCCTCTTCTTAATTTGTGGAAAAGTAGGAGACTTGTTCTTGTGAAGGTATGCAAAATTATTATAATGAAGCCAGGAAAGAGAGAGAGACGCTTTGCTTTTCCTTAATTTACAAAGAAGATGGTGACAGAAGAAGATGTAGAGACGATCATTCATCAATTCCTCTTTCATCTCGGATTCATTAGCTGCAATAGTTTCATGAGTAATTTTTTTTTCCCCCATATGAAAACTGGAGCCCAGCACTGTAGGGAATTCACTTAATTCAGCTTAATTCACTTAATTATAGAGAACAACGACAGCAGAGTTAGAGGTAACAGGATTCGGTTAGTGTCATACATACATTAAACAATCTCTCAGGGCTTACTTATCATTTAATTCCTGAGCAATCACAAGGTGTTTCAAATGATAATCAATTGCTTTTTCATAATCTTGAAGCAAAGTGTATGTGTTCCCAAGGCTGTAGCAGGCCTGTGCTTCCACAGCTCTGTCTTTAAGCTGTCGAGCCAGCTGTAACGTCCTCCTGAAAGAAAGGGTTAGTCACCTCAAAAATCACTGTAAGGAAAAGTTTTAAAAAGTGTACTTGCGCAACTAAAAAAATCAATTACACCAATTAAACAAATTAGGACACCAGGCTGGCAAATTAGTTGCTAATAAACTACTACCTTGCAAACCCTTAAAAGATTTTAAGTGTCTGTCTTCCACTCCCCTCCACTGCAACCTATTTCCATTCACTTTTATTAGAGAGCAGACTGATCCCTCAAACAGCATCTTCTAGTTCTAATTTATTGCTTCATCAGTAATTTGTAGCAGTTTTCCTGACAGGATGCACTTGAAACAGTTTAGTACCAGCATTAGAGTAAGTACTGCATATTCTCCACCAGCATGAGCAAGACAGACCTATAACCACCGAGCCAGCCTGCCCCCGCTGGGTAAGAGGAATTTGAGTGCTAAGAGGCATCTGCTCACTATTGAGGCTTTTTTTCCCTTTTCAAAAAGAACGGGTAAGCTCTGAAATCCCCGTAAGACGCTAACACCACCTGTACTGTATCTTTGCCGAGCTTGTATTTTCCCAAGTTACAGCAGCAACTGCTCAGTGGTGCAGGGATGAAGAAAAAAGTCTTGATTGAAAATACAGACTGAATCTGTAAAATGGTGTTGACGTGCACCACTTATCTCAGCCAGTGAGTATACCTGAGACAGCTACCCATCTCGGGTGTACTGAAGTTACTCGGATCATTCCAGAACTTGCTAAGACAGTAATGCTTGGTTCTAGAATAAAGGGGAATAAACGCCTATCAACAGAAAGATGTCTACAGTGCTGAGAAGACTCTAACAAAAAAGTTAAATAAGAAAGATTAATGCTGCCCCTCCCTTGAAAGAGCCGGAACAGTTAAAGCAACTAGGGAAAAATGTTATTTTTGCTAAACAAATGCAGCTCTTTTCTAAGTATATTTTGAAGAGATGGCTATTCTACAGTGAGCTAAAGTACCGGCACGACTCTACAAGAAAAGGTATAAATTATATTTATAAGCAGTCAACTAACTTGTAGTATTCAGAAGCGGTTTCAAATTCACCCAGGAATATGTAGGCGTTTCCAAGATTGCTGTACGCTCTTCTTTCCGCTGATCTATCACCAAATTCTTTTGCAATTAGGAGACGCTTAAAAATGTGAAATAATTGCGTTATTTACTCAATTTTGTACTTTGTAACATACATTTGCATACAGAAATACATGCTCATAGTTTTCCCACTGTGCGTCTGTATCTGTTCTTTAGGCCAACAATGCTTGAAAGGAACAGCCAAACTTGACGCTGTGCCATTAAGATTTAAAGCTTGCATTAAAAAGCTCGCAACAAGATCCAACACAATACACGTACTTAAGATCAGGAGCAACCGGTGATATTTTGCTAGAACAGAATTCCTTACTAGCACATTGTTGTACCTGTTCGTGGGCCAGAACCGCACTCCTGAAGTTGCCCAGAAGATAGTGTGTGTTTCCCAGATTTCCAAAGGCACGTCCTTGTGCTGCTCTATCACCCAGCTCTGTTACTATTTTCAGGTTTTCCCTTTTTTGGGGGAAGTGAGAAGGGGAAGAATAGTGACTTCTAAGAGGTTTTTTTCTCACAGTCATTTAAATAATAATATTTTTTTAAAAATCTTTCCATTCATATAAAGAAAAACGTAGAGGTATTCTACATTGGCCTATTTTAATGGCCTTTATGCAACCGTAAATCTTCCACTGAGTAGGAAACATTTCCTGTGAGATACCGAACTTAACGCATTCTTACTCAAGCTGGTGTGCTCGCTTCTAGTTACAGAGCTACATTATACACAAGTACACCGAGGTCCTATTGTTGTCTCAGTCTGCTTTGAAGAGTACAACTGGATTCTAACATAAGGGAAGGACTTAGCAGGTAGTAAGAGGTACACTAAAAATGAGGGCATAACAAAAAAATAGCGCACTCTCCCGTTTAGTAGGGAAAAAATTGACAGGTACCACTGTTCTCAATAGAAGCGTGCCACAGGTTAGTTCATGACACCACAAATCTCCCAATATTCTAATGACCTAGATAACCGTATCCTCTCAATCCCCAACACTTACAGCTACTACTTACTCATAGTAATTTGCAGCTTTTTGTAAAGCACTTTTCACATCATCTGGAAGTTCCCCTGGATCATGAGTCCCAGCACTAGCTACGTTTTTCCCTTTAGAGTGATATACGTTTCCCAGATTATACAGTGCTCTTGCTTCTCCAACCTAAACCAAAAGTAAAATAAGGCATTAAAATTTTATGCTTCAAAGTCTCGTGTCACAACAACTATTAGTACAATCCACAGATGGGAAAAGCAGCTTAACTAGTTGTCAACACATGCTCTGCCCATTCTGAACGTGTTCTTATCACCCACCTTACTCCCACCCACTCACACCCCTCAATCAAATTGGTTTGCATACTGCTTCCTTTTGAGGTGCAAGGTACATAATAATTCTTGAGGCAAATTATCATTAAAAATTAAATTAAAAAAACCACAACCAAAACACACAAAACAGGATAATATTTATTAATCTGGATCTATAGTCTTCCGGGTGCAAACAACTATCTTGCAGCTAACAGATTGTTACTGTCTAGAAGAAATAATTGAATATTCAGTATTTACTTCGCTCTGAAAGGTGGCACACGTTACCAGTACAACAGGGTTCAGCAATATGTATTAGCAGTTTATTTCCGGATTCCTAAGCAATTCTTACCTTATCATTAAGCTCTCTGGAAATATCCAGATGTCTCTGACAACAAACAATAGCTTCTTCAAAATTCCCAAGTACCTTTAAGGTGTTGCCCAGATTCCCACTAGCTTTAGCTTCTCCCAGTAGATCTCCAATTGTCCTAAAATTGCAGAAATAAAGCACCCAGTAAATAGTGTATAATTTGAAACCAAGCAGATGATCAATGTATGGTAGACAATCAGAAGAATTTCTGAAAAGAGGTTACAACCATGTAAATGCATACATATTCAGTTCACTTTATATCTAAAATGCACTCACATAAACTGTGTCTGTGCTTCAGACATTTAATTTTGTTGGTGCTGTTTGTGCAACTGCTAGTATTCATGGTACTGATCGTCTACTTAACATTTAAAAAAAAAAAACCACCACCACCAAACAAAAACCCTCACTTCTTTTAGGAAGAGAATAAAGAGAAACTTCTTAATGATTATGTAGAAAGACAGTCCCAGCATTAGAAAGAGAGGTTTAACTGTTTCTGCATTTTACTTGACTATCGTAGTCTTCTATTACTTACAAGACATGCTGGTCTCCCAGAAAGCTCAGAGGTAATACTACATTTCGAGATTCTACGTGAGACAAAGGCAAAAGACTGCCACTGAACTTTTTTTTGTGATACTTGGGGAGTAACACAACAAAACAAGTTCCCACGAGGTTACGGCACTTGAGCAGGTTAAGGCAGGGGGAAGAATAGATCTGTGCCTAAATTGAGGTTAAGTACATTAGGTGCCTGTGCCTTTTATTGGATCTATACCAAATCATTAAAAGTCAGATGCATAAACAGCGTATGAAATGCACAGGTTTTTCAGATTTCACAGTATTATGAGTTTTACACAGAGAAACATGAGTGAGTTCTGTCTAGTTAACAAGAGAGCCAGCTGAACATTCTGGAGAACCAGGCAGACTGAGTTTTAGAAACAGGAAAGGGTAAAGAAAGGGGGGGGTGTTAAAGAAGCCAGTTAATTACCCACAAACCTGGTGAGGCCTCAGTCAGTACTAGGATTACGGTGCTAGAGCAAGTATTAGCTCCCAGGTTAAAGGGCAATCAAGTTACCTGCCAGACCCCTCTGCCATCACCACATTCACTCATTCTCCAGTATTAATAGCAGGGTTTGGTAGGACAATGAACAGTCAACTGCTCATCTCTACAAGAATGGGATGAAATGGAGAACATGGTTAAAGAAGACACAAGATTACCTTGCAAGAGTTAAATCATGGTGATGGTATTCCAAGGCCTTTGCATATTCATGCAAGTAGAAATAGGCATTGCCTAACTGGCTGTAAATAGCACTGAGTGTTTTTAAATCTTCAGTTCCAACCTGAACAGCTGCTTCAAAGAAAGATACACCAGCTCGGCAATCCCCTGCTTTACACAGGCGCTCACCTTCCAAAGCCAGCTCTAGGCAGGAAGCCTCCATCCTGCACAATTTAAGTAAAAAGGAAAACGGTCACTCTAAATGTAGTACTTTGTCCAATAACCTGAATTCTGAAGAGGTTATTTTATGCAGAGAGTCTCTCTTTGTTCAGGACAGGGAGTGGGAGTCAGCACCACAGTACAAGCAATGAGCTTGGTACTGTAATATTACAAAAACTAACGCTGAAATGGAAAGTGCAGCTTCAACAGCGCTGAGCGAACATACCATTAGAACAAATAGCTTCAACCTTTGTTTTTTCCTTCTTTCTTTTTAAGTCTCAGGGAGGAAATCCAAACACTGCTTTGCCCATATATAGCACCTCTAGGATTCAACAATGCAGAGTTTTCACCATCTAGATAATTTCAGAAAAGTGACCTAACAAATCAAGCTATTCTTGGCAAATACTGACTTTGACAAACGTAAGCACTCTTTATTTTTAGGTTGATACCATAGTTACCCGCAAAATGTCTTATGGGGGAAAAAAAAATTCAAATTCAAATATTCCTGTGTATCAAAGACCATGACTATTTTCCCCCAAGTTGCTTCCTATGTAATTCAATACTCCTTGGCACTTCACCATTTCCTAGAGTGGCACTGCTATGAAAATTCTCAGAGGGTAAAGAAGAAAGATCTAGATTGAATTAACAACAAAATGTATGTCAATTCAAGTTACTTAACTGAGATGCCATCATTCCAGAAGCCACTGGGATATTTTTCATTATTATGAGCAAATAATTGTGTAATTATACAGGTACAAAATACTGCAAGCAGTAAAGAAGACACTCATGAATGAATTTATAGCAGAATTTGCAGAAGATTACATTTTGAACAATGAACAAGAGAACTGCAGCTGCCAAAAAAAATTAAGATGTATTTTTGCCACTGTGAATTCAAGTGTACAAAAGGTAACATTTCAGTAAGTGTTAATGATTATATACAAACATTTCCTACTTTCCAGTTCCGAGATGCGAGGGAGGTAGGGGAGAGGAGGATGAGAAGGAAGACGACTTCAGGGTCTTGATCTTGCAGCAATATGGTTCTCTAGGGCTTTTTTCAAGATACATGCATTTTAAAAGGCTCACAAAACCACCATCATTCTGCTTTTAAAAGATTTTTCAAAAAGAAAACTCGGCAAGAGGCATTCTGTAAGTGTTTAAAGTGCTAATATTGCCAAAAAGCGGACATCAACTCTGTAAATTTGTGTACCGTTTTGAATTTTTCTTCAAGATGGATTACACAGTAAGTGTAAGGGCTTGCACTCCAAAAGAGAACATTTTATGTAATTAAAGATACCCTCGTTATGTCATCATTTGATATTTACCTGGTTGAGAATAAACCATTTAGAATTCTATTCCTAAAACTGTTTCCGTTCACATGCACAGATCAGTAATAGCGACAACCAAATGTTTGCTGTTCCAAAAGTTACTTTAATGGCAACACCAGAAGACAGCTGTTTTGAGAAGACATAGTGATGAAGTATTTAACATACCTGCAATGTTTACATTTCTTAATTTTTCTAAATCGGGAAAAAAATAGGTTATACAACATTCTACTCAACTCTGAGCAAGGAGGAAATATTTTTGAAAAATCCAATGACTTTCAAGAGAATTTGGATCATAAGTAAAATAAGCTACCGACACAAAATAGTACCATACCTGCTGGTCTTCGACATTCCACAACTTAAGCACAACGAGATGACAGACATATTTAACTTCTGCAATTAAAAACACTGTATGCTTGGTAGCTGGTAAAGACGCAGACAGCAAATGGTAACTCGGGCGTGAAGTTCTTCCCAGGCCCAACTTCTCAGGTTGGATATCCATAACACATGCAGTATTTTTAGGTTTGGAAACTCTTCCCAGAGAAGTTCAAGCATTCCTATTTGCTAGAACACACAGCCTGGTTTTTGTTACATTGGGCGTGTGTTGAACGTAAGGCAGAAAAAGGCAGAAATGATTAAGTACAGTTAAGTACAGGCAGAAATGATTACACCATGAGCAAGTGAAGGTTTAAGACTTAAAACACTTCACTGGGTAATCTTAATCCTATCCAAAGAGGTCCTCTCCGGGCACCTCATGTTAACTGACATGTCCAATTAAAGTGACGGCTAGAAAATACGGTGCTCCTTAGTGCAAAGATTTAGACCATTACACAATCACATTCATTTCTTTTGATTGTTAGCCTGAGAGGCTAAAAAGGGCAGAGCTTTCAGCAAAATGTGTATGTGACATCATAATAGTCAAAATGCTATACTGGACTCCAGTTTTCTAAGTGAATTTATCCCGTTAAAAAAAAAAATCATGCTTTGATTTGCAACTGTGATGCATCAGCCGCCTAATATATGAAGAAAAGGCACAGTTTAAAAAGGGACAAAGACAATATCAGAGAGCGCGATGGAGCGGTAGTTTTCCCAATATACTGCATTCAATTAATTTCACACCATGTCAAAGACTGCCAAATGCCAAGGCAGCATTACCGTTTCATCAAGGAACTTGATCTTTTGACTTTGCAACCCCAGACTTAATATAACTTATAAAAATGAAAGATTTGGGTTTTTTCATACAGAACATAACTAACTATGAAGCTAAGGCTTATATCCAGGCTGATGAGAATCAGCTGTTACTACAGAGTGTTTCAATTCAACCAGAATTACAGGAAGTAAATGAGAATGGGAATTAGTAATTGTTTGAGTAAAAAAGAACCCAAAATTTAACACTACTCAAGTGCCACTCTAGAAAGGTTGTGATAACAGGTTGTTAGAATCTGGACAGCAAATTCAAGCTGTAATTCCATTTGGATCATTCTTACTGACCTTCTACAATTTCAAAGTCTAAATAAGCTATAAAAAAAAGAATAGAGAAAATGTAATATTTATTTCCACAGTTGCCTGTACCCAATATTAGTATTTTATTTGCATTACGTAAGAGCTATGAAATCATTTAGTTATTTTAAAAATTTGCTAGGCTTACCCATCAAGTACCAAAACTGGACTCAGAGAAAGTTTGGGTTTGGTTTGGAGGTTTTTTCCCCTCCATTACTTAAAGGACTGTTACAAAAATTAACTTTTTTTTTTTTTTTTTTTTAACGATTTACATAGGTGTTCTGCAGTCAAAAAACCGTCACCTCTTAGGAATGTTTTAACTGTCACTACTAATGGTTAAATAGCATGGCAGCAGACTAGACAGGGCTAGGTTATCAATGTTTTAGGAAGTCATTAAAAAGTTACAAGGAGAATATGAAATTACCTTCTCTGTTCCCAGGGCTGAACTGAATTACTTATTTATTCAGCATCCAATGGCTAAACAAAAGACACATTGAATCCGCAGAGACGAGAAGAGAACAAGGCCCATTCATCTGGGTACTTCTAATGAAATTCTGTTCCTGCTAAACAGGATAATGTTCTTCCAGATATTACTGTGGAGATACTCATCCAGGGCTTTGTTTTGTTATTCTGTTTATAGTTGCCTGGACCTGTTTCTCTGAAAGGCTGGCATCTCCTCAATAATTTCTCATTTGTAAAACTACCTCATCCTTATCTGTCCCTCTAAGCTTTTCATCTTGCCTGGCTCCCTTTTCTCCCCCTCCCCCCCTTCTTTTTTTTCCCCTTGTTCTTCTCTGACCCTCTTCACATTCTCTTTTGAACCTTTATACTTATAAGAATATAGACCCTATGCATATGCCTCCACCCTAGCCTCCGTTTTTTTTCTCCCATTTTAGAGTCTCCCTTCCTTCAGCTGTTCTCATCTTACAATAAAGAACAGAAAACTGGTAAGGACTAAGGCAAAAGAAGAAGGCAAGAAGACTCATCAATTACTACAATCTTTAAACATAATTAGTTTAGTTTTACTCCATTCAATTCCCACTAAGGGGATTTTTTGCCACTGAGAGGGAACGGGGCTGCCATGCAATTTGCCATAAACACATCAATACACATAACATACCTAGACACAAACAAAAAAAACCCTATTGTCTCTCTTTAATAGGTGCATAAAATTACTAACGCCACATACTGTAAGATCACACACTATTCCTGACTCCTGCCCTTAATTCTTGGTCTCTATACATAATGAGCAGCATACCACATTGATCACTCCAAACAACTTAACTACAGCTCCACTGGAACACTGTGTTCAGTCAAACTAAGTTTGATGGCAAACCTAGAAACAAAACAACACACACACGCACGAAGAAACCACACACCTGAATTGTGGGTTCTTTTGCTTCAGTCAAGATAAAAGCAGTTACAAGCTTTTGGTGTCTGAATTTAGCAGGCCAAGACAAGTGAGTTCTACAAATATTTACTCTATAGATCACTTATTAGTCCCGTTTATTAACATCAGCATTTTATTTTCAGTCACTAAAGAACATAAGAATAAAAAAGTTTCCTTCCACCAGCGTAAGCATTTTTATAGCTGCTAAAGTGATACTGGTCAACTAGAGTGGGATGAAAGAAACAGCTCGCACAGTAAGAAACAGACCCCTAGTAAAGCCTTTCCTTAGGAGTGGGCCACCAGCTTCTTTTCAAAGTCAGTGCTGTTGGAACACCAGTGGGAAGGAAAAAGCAGTGTGAGAGCCAAAGGAGCCTGGGACAATACCTGTAGGTAAAAAATTTTAAATACTGATAAATAACACCACCCCCCCCAGCAATTTATGACCTATTCTTTCATTAATTTTTAAACTACAACCAAATAAAACCTTTCCAAATTATAGCTAGTAAATTAAATAATCACAAAATTCCAGTTCAATATACTGAATTAATTTGCAGTTTCTATAAGTTTTAGAAGAGTTTAATATTTAAAAAAAAATTAAAAGGTTTATGCCTTGATTTTTTTAAATGTTCATCAGATTACAGTTCCTACAGAAAGGTTTAATAAGACCATTAATATTTTTATTGTTAATCAGTATCATTCAAGCCTGTACTAAAATACAGCATAAAGTAGTACGACATTTTGCCCTGACTCTGCTTGCCAATTTTTCTGAAGGTTTTTTTGGCTTGTCAATTTAAACCAGACAATCGGCCGTGCCGCTTTCTTCATCCATTGACTTCTATAACAGTACCCTGAACAGCTCCTGCTTTTATTGAAGAGTGAGCAAGGATCTTCTACAGTTGTCTGGGGAGGGCCAAGAGCACCAGCAACAGCGTGGGTAAAGAAGTTACAGGAATGCTGGGAGCTAGATGCATTCAGGAAACACTTAGCACAGAAGAAATACCATGCT